TTTAATCATTACAAAGCGACGATGTGTGTGAACTTATCGCAGCTTAATGTGAGTATTTCTTTTTAGGGAATGAGGAAAGGGTGAACAAGGGGGGCCATGGTAAAAGAAGAGGAAACATTGTGAAATAATCTTGCGACAGCTTTAAAAAAAAAAAACTGGTGAGCAAAAAATACTTAATGCACTGTATACCCTATCCGTTGAGGAGTCAAGAGGACAGTACTATGCCTTTAAAAAATGATCACTGTTTTCTTTTCATTATTCTGTATATTCTTCTTTGTATGCATATATGTTATTACTATTCAATATTTTTTTCGTTGCATATATTGTAGATTTTTTCTTTTCAATGCTCGTAATTGAAAATTAGGTTGTACAAGAGTAACTCATCAAACAGAGATAAAATAGTGGACCCCACATACATCCTATACAGAAAAAGGTCATGAAGTAAAATCTGACGACTATCATTATAGCTTTATTCTCGATCACATCAGCAAATCTTGAAAATAAAAATCCATATCTCTTCTCCAACCCAACCAAATTTGTTGTTGATCTTCTGGGACCAAAGAGGCGACTTTATATACATATATGTTTTTTTGTATTTTGATATTCTACATTTGGGTATAGTGACAATTTAGAAAATGTTCCCAGACTTAAATCAGTATCAGTCTCTCTGGTGAAACCTGATATAGATCTTTCGAATTAAAACAATCCTTTGGAAGCTACTTTAGATGTGCACTTGCGCAACTCTACTGTATGACTCCAAACAGTTAACTGTTAGTTTACTGTACAATGGACAGTACATGGTTATTTAGCACAAAGAGAATTTCACTCTCTCGTGGGTAGTAAGGTGGGATATAGCATGGAGCCTAAAAAAAAAAGTGTCTTTACTGTTCCTCATGCATACACATTGGTGTGCATAATCCATCAGTTGATGGACTGGTGTGGGCGAGAAACTCCTTTAAGGAGAACAGTTTCTAAGAGACAATGGAAAACCTGTTTAAAAGATATTGTATCATGGTGTCATCCATTAAAATGATCTATTTATCTTGGATAAAGTCCTCTCCTTCTATGGCACTCTTGTATACACTCTGTTCTTCTCTCATCGCACTAGTCTTGTTGCACAAGATAAATAGATTTACAGCAAAGGTAATAAATTTTCAAAAGGTATAGTTTCTATTAGGCGAGTAGTGATAATAGTAGTAGTATCGCACGCACACACACACAGTTGTAGGAATTAAAGTCGCATCCACTGAAGAACTCATTCTAAACACCTAAAAAAAAAAGTGCGTGATTTGTGTAAATGACAGAGTACTTAAAGGATCTCGCGTCCAGTAGGCCCGGTGATGCGAAGCCTCCGATCAATCTTGGCCCTTACGACAATCCACTGCTCTGGAATAAATTGGATCCCTTCGGGGCCGATCGTGGCCATCAGCGCCGCCCGATGACTGTCTCGCGGGACTTCATGGAGCTTAACCAGGTGCCAATTGTCTTTCGCGACCAGTGCGTCCACCGTTGGGTGCCTTTCCACCGCTGTCTAAAAAACTTAAAACCCGTCACTTGGGGGACCGTCAATTGCCACGAGTTTGAGGAAGCCTGGTTGATCTGCCGCTCCTACGAAACCTACCGCATGCAGCTCCTGAAGACAAAATTTATGGAGCTCACCAAGGACTACACCGCTGAGGATAAGAAATTTTTCCCCAGCATGCGCTATGTCAGCCTACCGTACTATATTTCGTCCTTCTACTGGAGCCTTGCTGCGTCGCAGCGGCTGAGCGGGTGGGATGAGAGGGACCCAGCGAATCCTGTGATGCAAAAGGAACCAAATCGGTCGTTGATGCGTTCGGAGTTTTCGCTTACGAATTGGGAACAAGGAACTCTGACGAGCGCTTACGGGCACAAGCTCATTTCGGATAAGGTGGTTCACGATATGGTGCCCGGATTTCCTCTACCAGAGGATAAAAGGCCGATTGAGGAATGAATTGAAACTGAAGGTACCTATAGAATCACAGGCAATATGCATAATTGACGTGAGTTTTTTAAGATGCCATATATATATATATGGGTGGGCACTGCATATTAGAAATGCTTTAGTGCTTGGTGATTAGTTTAGCTTATTCCATTGTGTACGTAGTTCATCTCTTTTACTTTGCCACACCGTTTTGAAGCGGATAAGTTCCAGGGTTCGTCACGTTTCACAAAAGGAAATTGATAAAAAGGGTTCCAGAAAACTCACCAAAACGAAAAAATATTTTTCGATGTTATTTCTTCTATTATAAACAGTTCTGTTTACATTCACGCTGTTCAAATTCAATCGTTGTGCTAAGTGTGTATTATATATGCCGATTTAGTAGATTATTATGGACTTTAGGCTGCGATGGAGCACATCGCCTTCGGCGGCGTGTGGTTTCCTTCGCTCCTCGTCTCATCGACAAGGAGTGGGGTATGGACACACCCAGATGCCGTTTGTGAGCTTTGCTTCCATAAGCTTCCCGCCTGTTTTACGGCACCCCGTCTCCCCTTGGGAGACCCAAGATGGCCTTCAACGACCTTCGCAAACGGCGCGCCGCACCGGTGAGGAGCTGTTATGGAATTACCGGAAACCCACCCCTGTACAGGGGCGATACCGGCCCCGGGGCGCCCGTCCTTCCGCAGCCTCCCAACCCTATCACCCACTGACGGCCAACCCCGCC